ACATGTATACGGGAAGACACCCTAGTCTCACCCACAGAGTAGGCACACTAGAACATGTATACGGGAAGACACCCCCGTCTCACCTACCGAGTAGGCATACTATTATATGTATACGGGAAGACACCCCAGTCTCACCCACCGAGTAGGCATACTATTATATGTATAAAGGAAGACACCACAGTCTCATCCACAGTGTAGGCACACTATTACATGTATACGAGAAGACACCCCAGTCTCTACCACAGAGTAGGCACACTATTACATGTATACGGGAAGACACTCCAGTCTCATCCACAGAGTAGGCACACTTTTACATGTATACAGGATGACACCAGAGTCTCACCCACAGAGTAGGCACACTATTACATGTAGACGGGAAGACACCCGAGTCTCACCCACAGAGTAGGCACACTATTACATGTATACGGGAAGACACTCCAGTCTCACCCATAGAGTAGGCACACTATTACATGTAGATGGGAAGACACTCCAGTCTGACCCACAGAGTAGGCACACTATTACATGTAAACAGGATGACACCAGAGTCTCACCCACAGAGTAGGCACACTATTACATATAGACGGGAAGGCACCCGAGTCTCATCCACAGAGTAGGCACACTATTACATGTATACGGGAAGACACTCAAGTCTCACCCACAGAGTAGGCACACTTTTACATGTATACGGGAAGACACCCAAGTCTCACCTACAGAGTAGGCACACTATTAGATGTATACAGGAAAACACCAGAGTCTCACCCAGAGTAGGCACACTTTTACATGTATACGGGAAGGCACCCAAGTCTCACCCACAGAGTAGGCACACTATTACATGTATACGGGAAAACACTCCAGTCTCACCCACAGAGTAGGCACACTTTTACATGTATACGGGAAGGCACCCGAGTCTCACCTACAGAGTAGGCACACTATTATATGTAGACGGGAAGACACCCTAATCTCACCCACAGAGTAGGCACACTATTACATGTATAAAGGAAGACACCCCAGTCTCATCGACAGACTAGGCACACTATTACATGTATACGGGAAGACACCAGGGTCTCATCCACAGAGTGGGCACACTATTACATGTATACGGGAAGACACCAGAGTCTCACCCACAGAGTAGGCACACTATTACATGTAAACGGGAAGACACCAGAGTCTCATCCACAGAGTAGGGACACTATTACATGTATACGGGAAAACATCCCAGTCTCACGCACAGAGTAGGCACACTATTAAATGTATACGGGAAGACACCACAGTCTCATCCACAGAGTGGGCACACTATTACATGTATACGGGAAGACACCCCAGTCTCACGCACAGAGTAGGGACACTATTACATGTATACGGGAAGACACCAGAGTCTCACCCACAGAGTAGGCACACTATTAAATGTATACGGGAAGACACCAGAGTCTCACCCACAGAGTAGGCACACTATTACATGTAGACGGGAAGACACCCGAGTCTCACCCACAGAGTAGGCACACTATTACATGTATACGGGAAGACACCCCCGTCTCACCCACAGAGTAGGCACACTATTACATGTATACGGGAAGACACCCTAGTCTCACCCACAGAGTAGGCACACTAGAACATGTATACGGGAAGACACCACCGTCTCACCCACAGAGTACGCACACTATTACATGTATACGGGAAGACACCCTAGTCTCACCCACAGAGTAGGCACACTAGAACATGAATACGGGAAGACACCCCCGTCTCACCTACCGAGTAGGCATACTATTATATGTATACGGGAAGACACCCCAGTCTCACCCACCGAGTAGGCATACTATTATATGTATAAAGGAAGACACCACAGTCTCATCCACAGTGTAGGCACACTATTACATGTATACGAGAAGACACCCCAGTCTCTACCACAGAGTAGGCACACTATTACATGTATACGGGAAGACACTCCAGTCTCATCCACAGAGTAGGCACACTTTTACATGTATACAGGATGACACCAGAGTCTCACCCACAGAGTAGGCACACTATTACATGTAGACGGGAAGACACCCGAGTCTCACCCACAGAGTAGGCACACTATTACATGTATACGGGAAGACACTCCAGTCTCACCCATAGAGTAGGCACACTATTACATGTAGATGGGAAGACACTCCAGTCTGACCCACAGAGTAGGCACACTATTACATGTGTACAGGATGACACCAGAGTCTCACCCACAGAGTAGGCACACTATTACATATAGACGGGAAGGCACCCGAGTCTCATCCACAGAGTAGGCACACTATTACATGTATACGGGAAGACACTCAAGTCTCACCCACAGAGTAGGCACACTTTTACATGTATCCGCGAAGACACCCAAGTCTCACCTACAGAGTAGGCACACTATTAGATGTATACAGGAAAACACCAGAGTCTCACCCAGAGTAGGCACACTTTTACATGTATACAGGAAGGCACCCAAGTCTCACCCACAGAGTAGGCACACTATTACATGTATACGGGAAAACACTCCAGTCTCACCCACAGAGTAGGCACACTTTTACATGTATACGGGAAGGCACCCGAGTCTCACCTACAGAGTAGGCACACTATTATATGTAGACGGGAAGACACCCCAATCTCACCCACAGAGTAGGCACACTATTACATGTATAAAGGAAGACACCCCAGTCTCATCGACAGACTAGGCACACTATTACATGTATACGGGAAGACACCAGGGTCTCATCCACAGAGTGAGCACACTATTACATGTATACGGGAAGACACCAGAGTCTCACCCACAGAGTAGGCACACTATTACATGTAAACGGGAAGACACCAGAGTCTCATCCACAAAGTAGGGACACTATTACATGTATACGGGAAAACATCCCAGTCTCACGCACAGAGTAGGCACACTATTACATGTATACGGGAAGACACCAGGGTCTCATCCACAGAGTGGGCACACTATTACATGTATACGGGAAGACACCCCAGTCTCACGCACAGAGTAGGGACACTATTACATGTATACGGGAAGACACCAGAGTCTCACCCACAGAGTAGGCACACTATTAAATGTATACGGGAAGACACCCGAGTCTCACCCACAGAGTAGGCACACTATTACATGTATACGGGAAGACACCAGAGTCTCACCCACAGAGTAGGCACACAATTACATGTAGACGGGAAGACACCCGAGTCTCACCCACAGAGTAGGCACACTATTACATGTATACGGGAAGACACCAGAGTCTCACCCACAGAGTAGGCACACTATTACATGTATACGGGAAGACACTCAAGTCTCACCCACAGAGTAGGCACACTTTTACATGTATACGGGAAGACACCCCAGTCTCACCTACAGAGTAGGCACACTATTAGATGTATACAGGAAGACACCCCAGTCTCACCCACCGAGTAGGCATACTATTATATGTATAAAGGAAGACACCCCAGTCTCATCCACAGTGTAGGCACACTATTACATGTATACGGGAAGACACCCCAGTCTCACCCACCGAGTAGGCATACTATTACATGTATAAAGGAAGACACCCCAGTCTCATCCACAGAGTAGGCACACTATTACATGTATACGGGAAGACACCCGTCTCACCCACAGAGTAGGCACACTATTACATGTACAGTCTGTTTTTATATTTGTGTAACACATTAAGTCTCACATCAGTATGTGCATGTATTTTGTAAGAGATTTATAAGCTCTTTTTATTTGGCTTTCCCACCAATAAGCAGATTACTGTACACTATAACAACTTTTATCAGAGTAAGATCTGTTTGTAATGTAACACGGTTGTACTACTGTGATGTTAATGTTTCAGGGTGTACAAATATATGAAACTTACATGGACGAAATACGTCTCACGTCTATTGCTCAATCACTGCCCTTCTACAGTAACAGTATGTATAATTTTATGTGTGGCAATAATAGATCACATCGCGTGAAGATCCGGGTAGAGAATAGTCTTCAGCAACTCATGTTTGCTGTAAGAGGTGAATTGACCCATGAAGATCTTGAGTAGAGTAGGTCTCGTGGACTTGGTTGATGCATGTCATCGTGTCCCTATTGTGTGGACTGATGCTAATGATATCAATCGCTGGACCAGACAATCCGCAGACTGGCGTCCTATGAGTTTAGAATTTTGTGGTTTGTACAAGTAATATTGAAAGAAAAGAAAATATATATTAACTGTGCACAAGGTACGGTACATTCATTACTGTTTTGCTATCTATTATTTTCTTGTACTGTGACTTTGTATATAAAACTGGTCTCAGCATGTTTGTTGATCAGGAGTGGTGAATGCCTCAGTATTGCACGTCTTGTAATCTTGTGTTCAGAGAGGGCATGGTTTGTGTGCGGAGAAGGGACATAACTCGTAATAACACCCGTAATAACACCCAGCCTAGCTTGGCAAGGGTGGAAATTGGATTTTTTTAGCCAGTTAACGCCCTTGCCTCGGATAGCTATCAACCAAGCCTGACACCACGATCCATTTAGTTTATTTGAACCCAAGTCCATGCTGCCCTGGAAATGTGAAAATGATAAATTCTTGGCACCAAGTAAAAGCATGGCCATGTATATGCAATCGTTCATTAATATTTGTGTTATGCTCCGTAAAAGAAACACAATGGACACCCCCCTGAAGCCTTGGTTTAAACACATAGCATATTGAAAATGTCATTAATGGAAAATTTTGAAATGCTGATATGAAAAACATTCTTCATATTCAGACTACCAGCAAGAGGAGATTTAATGTATCTAATGGTACGGTATGTGTCTGTTATACCCAAAAGGCATAAGACATTACTCAATACCCTGTATATGAATATTTGGACAGTCTGCTCCATGACTACCTACAGGTCACCGTCATATGGAATGTTGGAATATTGCTGAAGTGTGGCATTAAATTGACTCCACTGCTTTAATGTTATATTACAATGAAGGTAGTCATGACAAACAGTTAAAGGCAACAAAACAACTTGAGCACCATCACAGGTTTAATAGACTTTTTTTCCTTTACACTGGTGATGATCTACTGGTTGGCCTTCATAGCCATCCTGCGGTCACGTTCCTCTGCAATGGACAACTTCACTCCTTTGCCTCTTGGTAGGGAGATCCATGGCTTGTTGCCCTTGCCAATCACAAACACATAGCTCATTCTGGAATCAAGAAATTTAAAATACAAGACTAAGACAACTGCAGCATCAATGAAATTTTATAAGATGAGTGTTGGGCAGCTGATCACCCAAAGTTTTACAACAGAGCATAGACATGGCTATTAGTCAACTGTCAGTGTCTCCCCTCATCATTTGTATCAACAAGCAAAATGAACTGAGAATCTATTCTGTCTTGGAATAAAAAAGAGAAAGAAAATCCACAGTGAAAGCTGCTACATTGGTTGTATGATAATAATGAAGCCAGCACAGATAGACTGATCCAGCAACGAGATTACCAAATTGATCTATGCAGACAGAAATCCAGATAACCAATATATAGTTCCTGGTATCAATATCTGCAGGCTTTAAGTGAACTTGGTCAAGTATACAGACAGTGTCAACATGCATACGTTTGAGAAAATGCTTTTGCCCTTCTAACACTACACATTCATAAGTTATGGATATATATCTGTCCAATGTAACATAAAATGGACAATGTACAAGCTAAGGTCAAAACTGAACCAAGATGACAGTATCTAACATTTGAATTTGTGATATTAGTGCCACTAATTTTGGAACTACAAACATTACAGTGGGTGGAAAAGTCTTATAACAAGAGATCATTGAAAAGTAACAACAAAAACACAAAAAGAGAAGAAATCAGCTTCAGTTGCCCATGCACAACCGTAAAATGTAGACGATATTTAGTAATTTGGATAAATATTCACAAGTACTAAAATACAGGTTTGAAAAAGTTGTTTCCTTCCTTGTTTGGATTTCGATCACACTTTAGGCACGCTCTTACTGATTGACGAGAGTACCATATTTTTGGGACACATCTTGTAAGGTCACACTGACTGCTCAAAATTTGTATACTTATCCTACATTACTCCTAAATGCATCTACTGCTTTCCTTATGACTGAAACAGCTGTGCGATGGTCCTAGGCTGAAGAAAACACTGAAGTCAGGTAAGACAGTGCCTGCACAGGGTACAATAAGAGTTCTTCATCTTCAACCCCCACAATCGTAGAGATTGGTGAAGGACAGGTTGGGTTGTTCTGGTAGCTGATGCTTAGCAATAGAATCTCAGGACAGCCCGAGGTGAACCAATCCCTGCATACCATGCTCTAAACGGGACACGGGTAGTAGAGTGCATGTAACTTGCTAACCCTTGCCTCTGTGGCTAAACCCAAGAAAAAAATTGTCTTCTTGGTGAAGTTGAAAAAGGATGTGTGGATGTGAATGGAGGCCTGCGCACACCACTAAGTATCACATTCAAACAAGCATAATAAGATAAATGTATACTCAAACCCATAGCAGATGAAATTTAATGTGGAAGCAAAGTTCAAATTAAAGCCAAATATTGAGGACCAAAAGAAGACACGTCTGATGACAAGCTATAATGTGGAGATGTGACGTCACTTCCATTGACCACCATGATCACGTGACAGCTGTGCGAGGTTGGTTTTCAGACAGACCTATTGAGAACAACTTTTCTTCTTCAGCCTAGGACCATCGCACAGCTGTTTCAGTCGTATGGTAAGCAGATGCATTAAGGAGTAATGCAGGATAAGTAAAAAATCATGGTTTTTGTTTGATTACGGTCTAGAAAAGGATGAAATAATTTTTCTTGAAAGGAAAAGCCAAGGATATATGAAAACTTTCACGGTTTTGCATTCCTGCATATTTGACGAAACAGATCTCCAAAGTATTGCTGTAAATGTTGAGTTTGTGTGATCTGCCATAATTATTGTGAACATCGAAAGAAAATATAGATTACCATGAAGACTTGAACCAGATGGTGCAATAACAGCTCTAACTGGTGTATTACAGTACGGATTTGGAAACATGATATTTCTGGTGCTACATTTCTGTTGGGGGGGGGGGGGGGGGGGAAATAATCAAAGCGCATAGTCTGCACAGCTATCCTTGTTTTGGGGGAAAACGTGCACAAAACCCAAGAAAATATGACCATCAAATTTAGAAAAATTACCCCACAAAATGAGCATTTCTGATTAAATGCAATGTTTTTATACTTACCTGATGCTACACCTATAGCACTGTAGCGTCAGGTAAGGTAAAACACAAAAACTATGTGGGCCATCATGACAGTTTACCATGTTTACTTGTCCAGATACAAATTCAAAATTTTGTGTGTTATTGCCCCTCCATTGTTACAGATACATTATTAAGAGCTTACTGGGTTAATTATAGTTAATCAAATATGTATCTATCATTTGGTAATGCCAGAAGCAGGTGCACATGCAGCCAGCGACCGTCTAATAGATAATTATTTAGGCTTCATTATGACCTCAGACATGTACAAAAACACGAGAGGCTTCGATATGAGCCATCTATAATCACTGTTGAAGATGTAAAGCCCCACATCATGGTATCCAGAAACTGATGCTCTACTTCATGGTATCCCAGATACCCAATTCTGATTGTTTTGCAACACTTACATGACAACTCCACTCAAGACACATACCGACTCAGCTGATGGGGCCTTGTATTTCCCCCCATTAACTCTTTCAACACCAAGAAGCATCGAGTCCCCAGACACCGCAGGCCGGTTATCCGGCCAAGCCGTAGTCACGTCAAAATAGTACTATATTTTTATGGACCTACCTGTAATATCATTCATTTATTAAAACTATCACATTTCACAATGTCTGAAATACATATTCCATTTCAATTTAACATTTTTTATCGTTAAATTAAAAAATTATTCACTATTTCCCGCGATGTTATTGAAAATAAAATTCTCGGACACACATTTCGACAACGGGTCCACATCGAACACGTCAAAGAGGAAAATAAAGACGTTTCAAACAAATCTTTAAATTTATTATACAAAGTAATATATAAAATCAACAAAAGTATATATAAAAGTAATCAAACTTACATATAAGTTATTATTTTCATCTTTTCGTGCGATCGCGTGTAATGTAAGTCAAATGACATCTCGGCTTTCGTCGCCTTGAATTCTCGGCTCGGACACGATGTTTAATGCAAAAATATATGCATGAAAAATCTTTGTCACAGCTCGTAACCTAGCACGATACATTCACGAAGTTCCATATTTTTAATATATATCGTGATTTCCTGCTCAAAACGTTCAGAATAACACGATTTAACAAAATTCTTTCGCAAACTTCTGTAATTTATCGAACACGAGCTTGGTATCACAGCTGTAATTTGATTGGCTGCCTTAGGTCACGTGCTCAAAATTGACCAATCATGAAACTTGTAGCAGATTTCAGCAAGAAAGCGTCATTAGAAACCAATTTTAATCCAATGAAATCGCTTGTTATAACTACGGAAAAAAAACAGTCAATGTTACGAGCGTGTAGATGAAGGAATAAGCTTTCCAGCGATGTGTGATATGCCATTCTTCGACGAACGTGTTATTCATACGAAACCTCGAAAACGGGGGTATTTCTTCATTTTACTGAGCGGACAGTCGCTGTTATCGGGAAATGGGTGATGACAGATACTATTTATAATTCTTTTTAAAATGATTTTCCAATAACGTAAACAATGAAAATAAAATAGAAATAGGTACGTGGATATTATGAAATCATATATTTGCCGAAAATCGTCAAGTTTTCGCTTCCTTGGTCCTTCATCTGGATGTTAACAACGTGTTAGCGTACATTTTTTTATTTACAACGAATTTAATTAAGTTGTAAATGCATTATTTTAAATAATGTGAAAAACATAACTTTCATATTTATAAACCATAGGATCAGACCTTTCAAATGGTGTATAACATGTAGTAGCAAATATATTTTACAAGCAGGTATTTTCTTTGATAAATGTTGGCTTCAACTATCACACAAGAGCCTCTGGGAACTCGGTGTCCCAGCAGTAAACACTTCTGGTTGACTGGTGTTGAAAGAGTTAATGGTGAGCACCAGACAGAGCAACAAGTACCATCTGTATTGGTATGACGTGACCAGGGGACAGAACCACTGACCGTCTGCTCTCCAAGCAGACACTATCCACCACACAAAGGCCCTAAAATAACATACCTTGTGGCAAATGTGTGTCCCAGGGAATCCTTGACATGAACAATGTCGAAGGACCCTGGATGCTTTTCCCTGTTGATAATTACACCAACACGTCCCAAGTTGTGGCCTCCAGTGATCGTGCACAGGTTGCCTGAAACAGTCATACATACCACTGAAGTATCCAACCATTTGATGCAGAAGACATGACAATTAACATGTTTGTATTGAAGTACTGCTCCAGAGCAGCCAAAGCAAGTGTTTTTTGTGTGTTTTTTTAACTCCACACTCAGCAATATTCCAGCTACATGAAGGCGGCTTGCAGATAATCCAGCCTGGATCAGACAATAAAGCCATTGATATTATGAGCATGGAACCATCTGGGGACATTGACAGAGCCTTACCATCCAATCCACTTTAGTCGCCACTTCCGACCAGTTAAAGTTGCTTGGAACCAATCCTAACCAGGAATCACCATGGGTTCCCAATCCACGACACAATGAGGACACATTCCTACCCGGATCACCACAAGCCCTAAATCACATTGCGGAATACCTACATACCATTTGCATACTGCAACCTCTATCAAATGCACAGGATGGTGGCATATATTTTCACAAAGAAACCTACATTCCTACATACGTGTTAAACAGTAAGCAATGTGCACCATACAAGGGACAACAAATGTAGAACAAGGCATACTTGCTGCATATTAAATGACCTGATGATGTATCTAGAAACTTTTCAGTTATGAGCCAAAATGGCTGCAATTTTAAAAATTTGATCAGATTTTTGTGACTGTTTTCAGAGAAACCATTGCTGTGATCATATATGCAATTTGCAATGTTCATAGGACTCGTGATTTCCAAAATGTTGAAACAGTAAAAATGTTTGGCTTACAGAAAATGTGCCACACCCCTTCCTATTCCACATGTCAACTATCATCAGTTCAGGTGAGCTAAAATACTTCAATTACTAATCATGCTAATATCAATACATATCTTAGACAAAACACAGAGCAATTCACACATGCATTAATATATCACTAATTTGTAGTAGAATGAAATAAGTGGCCTAATGACATTGACAAAAAGCTCTCACCAGATTCAAACTTAACGTAGTCCTTCATTTTCCCTGTAGCAATGTCCACCATGATGGTGTCATTCACTTTCACCACAGGGTCTGGGTAGCGGATGGTTCTGCCATCATTTGTTGTCAGGTATGGCACTCCCTTGGGGCCGGTTGCAACACCTCTCACTCGACAGAGCTTGTACTGAAAACATCAGTCTTTTTAGGAAATGTTTTCAAGGAACTACACACATGTAAAACAGTTTTCACGATTTTTGAAAAACACTGTTTCTAACATTTGGTAATGCCAAAAGCATGAAATCTGCAGTCAGCGACCGTCTGAAAGATCATAATATTGGCTTCATTATGACCTCAGGCATGCAAAAATACACGAGAGGCTTCGATATGAGCCATCTGAAACATTTATCACTGTGTTATAACCTGAAAACATTCTGTGGCCAACCTTACTAAGACAAACAAGAGTGTGCCACTAACGTGGCTATACCCCCCGCCCCTGTTGCAGAGTTTATGACCAGAGCTCCAGATAAGCTTTGGGTGTTGTGGGTATTTTACCCATGCATTTTAAAATCACTGCGTATCAGCTATTCTATCTGGGTATTCAAATTTCTGTTACCCACTAGTTTTTACACATGTGGGTATTTAAGTTAAATATTTAAAAACACTATTCATCTAGTCCCTGCAAACTGGTGTTGTGTGGGTTCGAGAGCTTTATAGGACTCAAAAATACCACGATACTTCCACAAGAAAGTGTGATGGCAAATGATCAAATGTAACTGTCATCGTGGAGTTTGGCAAGGTTGACGGAATGCCCGTTTATAATTTCAAAATAAGTTGCTGATTTGCAAATCGAATACGCAGGGTTACTTCACAATACTTTGAATATACGCACAAGTTTTATTTTTGTAGCGTATCTGTAATGTTTGTTGCGTATTTGATACGATTGGATATTATTTTACTGCGTATTTCTGCATTTCTGATGCGATTTTTACGCAGATACACAGCTTATCTGGATCTCTGATGACATAATTAAATCTAAACAAACCCTAACCTTTTTTAACCGAGGTGGAACTTGTCATGGAAATTGTAAAAAAAAGAAGAGTTTGGAACTTAAGTCCATCTAGTTGCCCTGGAAACATAAAAAATAAAAAAAAATAAAATTTCTAAATAGCAAAAGGCACCAGTTCAGCATGTAGCTGACAGACCTGCAAAGTTTCATGAAAAAATATTGAACGGTTTATAAGTTATGCTCCTGAAACAAACCCTACCCTCACAGAACCTAAGTCCACCTTGTTGCAATGGAAACGTAAAAAATAAAAATTTCTAAAATTTCTAAATAGCAAAAGGCACCAGTTCAGCATGTACTTGACAGACCTGCAAAGTTTCATGAAAAAATATTAAACGGTTTCTGAGTTATGCTCCAGAAACGAAACATGACGGACGGAGCCTGTTTCTATATCCCCTGCCCCAATTGAATCTAGTGAATAAAACATTGGAAAATGTTTGATCTCAACATGCTCAAAGGAAAGATGATAGAGAGCCACAGGGCTCTAGTCCACCTTATCATGATGCAATAGATGCAAAGGTCATGCAATTTGGGGGCAAATTACATTTTCAATAGGGTTGCCATCCCAATTCAATGTAATAATGAGCAAATGAAATGACCATTGCAAGGACTGCACACACAATCAGCCTGATCAGCTTAACAATAGTCAAAGGTATAAAAAATGATGTCTCACTTTAAGTCATTACACCAAGAACACAGACATGCTCAATGAAAACTGTCATTTTAGGATAGGTTAATCTGTCATGGCACGATCATAGACTAACATATGAAAAAGTTAGGTGTTCTTTAACTTCTTTTGAGCACTATATATGAGGTTGACAAGTGCTGGATGATTGGCCTCTACTAGTCATACACTTCAAATAATGTTTATCACATTTTGTTTTCATGGAGTGCCAGGGCTTGTGAAAGTTGGTAATGTCAAAAGCATGAAATTTTAAGTCAGCTACCATCTGAAGATAACTATTTGGGCTGAAATCAATACTGGCCACTTGAACAGTATGAATTTATGAAACTTGTCAATTTATGTTTGACATTGAAAACTGAACAACACTGCCAATAATGATTCAAGGATAAATACCTTTGCTTCTTCTGGCTTTATACGATGCACAATAAATCTTCCTTTGACATCATACAGGACTCGGAAATTTTCAGAGGTCTTCTCAATGGTTACAACATCTAAAACAAAATCAGGTGTTTGAGATTCTCAGTATTCAAAATGAAACAAACATAACCACATGGTACACAATGCAGAATCAAGATTCCAATGTTCTTTTATGTCTTATTCTCCCAAAGAGGCTCAGATATCCTCATGAATCACCAAATGTTCCAAGAACAAAATAAATAAATAATTTAAAAAAATAATATATATCACTTCTTCCCTCAGAAATGACAAAAGAAATTAATATCAAGTGACATCATTAGGTTGGTAAGTGTAAAGCATACATAAACTTTCATACTCATAAGTTCGTGAGGAAGGAACCCCATCGGCAGTAGAGAGAAAGAAGGTGCAAGTTTCTTTCACAACATGAACCAGTGACCTGGTATCTTTCCTTTGTACATGTTGTATGTCTGACAAATATATACTTAATCATGTGCTTGCCGTGTTTTTGGTCGGACAAAAAACAGCAGTGCAAACATACCCTCACAAAAGTCTGTGGGAGCAGTTGCGAACATTCCTCATGCAAATCAAGATACATGTGCAGCATGAGATAGCTATGGGTTTAAAAGCTACCCTCAGTTGCCAGTCATTAGATCGATACAGTAGCAATAGCGAGATTAACTGCCAACGGGAGACAGTCTGTTGGAAGACTGAATGCTGGTCAGAGTGCCTGGGTTGCTGCAAATCTCTTTTTAAAAAATATTTTTTAGTCAATTTAGTATATGATGTTACATAGTTTTACATAGAGTAACATGACATGTAATATACTTACTAGGTGTAGGTTACATACCTATACAGCAGACAGCAAATTTTAGTTGGCTACAGGTGTACCACAATGTTAACAAATGGTGAAATGAGCAGGCTACATTTGCCATGCTAGTGGGGTCATTAACTAAGTGTGAAGCCAAATCCTTACAGCACGTTTGTTGAAATTGTTCATGTTCAAAATAGAGATAGTAACTAGAATGAATAAATTTACATAGAAAATCAAGTAAGTTTACATTTGTAAGTTGTATTTAAATGTAGATTATATAAGATATGTGATTATTTCTAATCATGCTAATAGCATCTTTCCAGGATTTTGGAATGTTTAATAGAACCTGGTAGGAGTCAATAACTGTGCGTTTAATTTGGTATTTTCTTTCAAGTTCATTGAAAGGCATATATCATCTTCATTACAGAGATCTGTAACAGTTTTAATTCCCCTTAAAATCCAATTTCTTATAATGAAATCAGTTTTGTAAACTGATGGTTACAAAACTAGAGGTTCCGATAGTAGTTCTCCAATGTTTGTCCTTTGTTTTGCTTGTTGTTTAACGCCGCACTCAGCAATATTCCAGCTATATGACGGCAGTGTGTAATTAATCGAGTCTGGACCAGACAATCCAGTGATTGACATCATGAGCATCGATCCATGCAATTGGGATCGATGACCTGCATCAACCAAGTCGACGAGCCTGACCACCCGATCCCCTTAGTCGCATTTTACGACAAGCATAGTCGCCTTTTACGTAAAGCATAGTCGCCTTTCACGGCAAGCAGGGGTTGCTGAAGACCTGTTCTACCCCGGATCTTCACAGGTATCCAATGTTTGTGGAGTGTTAGGGTGTCAATCATGATTTAAACTTTCATCAGTTCCACATTATTCAGTTTGATACCTTTAATTGCATTATTATTAGTGGTGTAACGATACGGCGATACAGTATTGTATCCCGATGCACAGCCCACGATATGACGCATCGATTTGGAAAGCATGTATACATACGATATTTTCATAACACCGTTTTACTTACGTATTTTCTTGAGTATAGTGCGGACTTTTTTTCTCAAAAAAACATCTGTGTAGAAGGGGGTGATGCATTATACACGAATTAATGAGTTTTGATGTTTTTTCCCCCATGGAAGGACATTACCGTGAGCACGTAACACCGGAAATACCATGTCAACAAATCGATATTGAAGTTCGCAAATTATTCGTGTAATTACACTGTCTGGCTAGACAAAGTGTTCTTTGTATATCTGGACTTATGTTTGTAAATTTCATTAATTTTATTCAAAATTCCTTTTAATATCGTTTTAATTAATTTCGGCGAAATCGTGTGTGAAGCGATCGGAAGATCGCACAACTCACCGTTATTAACAACAACCACGGTCAGGTTACCGCTATTGACGCCTTGAAACAAACACTAGTTGACAGAGAATGGATACATATATCATAAATGCCATAATTTGATTCGTTAAAAGCCATATTTGTTTTTGTTGGACAATTCTATGTCAACACGTAATTCTCGCGATCACGTGCACGGGAGCCTTGACGGTGACTGGTCAGACTGGTTCCATTTAAAAATAATACCCAGCAATAGTGATCAGCTGCTTCGCTTAGGGTTATTATTATTTTTAATATGTTTAGTAAAAGCTGCATCTAAATTAACAACATATTGGAATACATTATTCCTGAAAAAAATAATAGTTTCAGATACAACTTTTGCCGATCTTTGCATTAAAATCCTGTAAAGTTATATCATTGGGTGTGTCTTGACCGATTTTTTATCTTAAATTTCGAATTTGTACTGACGAAGTTTCTCATCACCCGTTCGTTTGCCGGACTTCGCTGAAGGGGTACGGTGTAATTTTTTTCTGAGCATAATATTCAAATTTCTTTTTTTCCAAAATATTGAACCCGCTAGAGGGGGGTGCGCACTATACTTAAGAAAATATGGTACTTTTAAACATGAAATATGTTTAACAGTTTCAAAGCCAGTTTGTTGTTTCAGTAAAACATACTGTATTGCTGACAAGATGCTATACAGTAAATAAACACCTTATATCTTCTTCAACTGTACTTGTCACATCTTTTAGAGAGCAGAAAGACATCAATTTGGCTTAGCTTGTACCAGTAAACACTGTATCGTGATACGTATCGTATCGCGACCCCTGTATCGTTACACCTCTAATTATTATCACAAATTATTATTACCAAAGTTTCTGCAACAAGCAGGAATAGATATGGAGTCAATGGGTCTCCTTGTCTACATCCCCTTTCCCAGAGTAAATTGTTTTGAAACAGTATCAAAATCTTTTTCAAAGTCTATAAGTAACAGTAAACCAGGCCTCTTTTGTAATTTTGTTTCAAAAAAGATATATAGCAGTTGTATGTTTTCTCTAATACCATATTTTCTTGAGTATAAGCAGCAACATCTTTTGTCGGCGACCTTCTCAAGTGCCCATCCTGACAGATCGACATCATCAGGTATGACTCAGATGGGCAACATAGCGTCATCAGCAATGGAGGAATGTCATCTCTGACGAAAGTCCTTATTTTGTGTCAACATTAGATGGTAGGTCAGGATCAGGTCAAATGTGGCAGTGTCCAACCCAGAATTAAAAATCAAGGGGGGACTTGTCCCCCCATCATGTAGAAAATAGGAGGGATTTTGAAAAAGTAGGGGGGATAATTGCTTTCTACAAAAATGTCTTATTTTGTATTATGTACTGGAACATCATCATATAAAAGTGTAACAGATCAGAATAAAGAACTGAAATGAATAACAATGCTTTGTGCTTTTTTCTATTTTGATTAAAAAAGTCTAATTCTTTTATTTTTGATTACTAAACAACAAAATACAACATAATTTTGATCAAAGTTTTGATACGTTTTCTACTAAAGTAAATCAAATTTCGTTTCCTATGCCAATCCTGTCGATAATTTATTCAGCAACCCAAGGGACGTCACTCGTGTTCGAACTTCCGGTTGTTATCGATCGGTCTTCGACAGTTGTTTACAATATTTGCTGTGAACTGTCTTTCTTCGTTAATTGATTAAAGATTTTGTGAGTATTGAATCTAAAGGTAGGGATAAACAGCTGATAAAGTAAGTAACTGTACAAGAAATTACTGTGCGTGACAGATCGCGCTTTGATTTTTTTTATGAGGGTCGATTTGATTTGTTTTAGCGTGAATCGCGCGGCCTGGGTTGGAGACGGATGTGGTGAACGATTTGCAGATTCTTGTGTGCTTGAAAGAAACCCATGGGGACGCCCAAGCATCATGGTGTGGGGCGACATGGGACTGAACCAAGGAACTGTGCCTGTGGTCTTCCAAAATATTGGCCCAGACACGGGTAATGGTGTCACAGCACATCGCTACATTGACCAAGTCCTCAGACCTTATGTCTTTCCCTTTTTCGCCCATCACCAATGCCATATATTCCAGCAAGACAACGTTCGTCCCCATACAGGTAGAGCCACTAGATACACATTCTACAGCAGCATAACATCACCATGCCCTCAGTCTGGATTTGAATCCAATAGAACACTTGTGGGACGAGATCCAAAGCTGTCTCAATGACCTCTAACCAAGGCCGACAACAGATGCGGATTTGAGAGCAGCTTTTCTACGCATATGGGCCCAGATTCCCATGGCTTTCATTAACCGCCTGGCGCACTCGATGCACCGCCATTACAGACGCTAGTGGTGGGCTTGACATTCTCGGCTGTTAAATATTGTGTTCACAAGTAGTCCATAATTTGGGGATGTTTAGGGAAGCCATCAAATTTTAACAAATTTGAGGATCTGCGGAAGATTCTCATCCCTGTGTATATATAATTCAAAACAAAATGTTTCGCATCGTTGTGTGGGTCAGATTATACCTAGCATGTCTTAGATGTTACCACTTTGGTGAAATAACCAATACCACCTACCCATGAATCCTGTGGGAAAGTTCTTGTCTGTGCGAACTCTGCCATCAACCTTGATGAGTCGCTGGTTGACAATCTTCTTGACCTCATTGTATGTGAGGGCATACTTAAGTCTATTCCTCATCAGCACACTCATTGGTAGTGCCTCCCTCAGCTTGTGAGGACCAGTGCTGGGACGGGGAGCCTGTAATCAATTTAACAATTAAAAGAAAGCAGAGTGAATATTTTCTGCAATTCCCTACTGAAGTGTGTAAAAATGATATCTACTATAAAGATGGAATAATTCTAAGATGGGGCACAATCTACTTTGAAATAATCATGATAGGACTAATGTAAATAAGCAAATTTAAATAAGTATATCAGGTTCTGTTACAGTTATTCTATAATCCAGAATACCCTGCAAGTTGTTTAGCTGGAGGACAAAATGTTCATAATAACTTGTTGGCTCTCCAATTTTTAATTCATATACAATTGTATATGCTGATCACTGCTATGTACATGGTGTACAGAACATAATGCTCATTATCTGAAACTTAGAAACTTACAAAGACACCACCAAGTTTGTCCAGCATCCATGACTTTGGAGCCGTAACTCTTTTAAGCACTTTCCTCCGTCCTCGATAACCCTGAAAACATGACAAATTGGTAAGAAATATTTCACTCATCAACATGATCAAAGCAGGTGGAGCCTTCGTATTTTAATCAAATCGTCAAAACGTCACCAACTTAGCTTGTCTGTAACATAGCGCTATCCCAAGAAGATCCAGGTCATAAATGGTGTTTAGCTACCCGTGCTTGTCTTAAGCGACAACTTATAGGATCTGGTGGTTAGGCTCATGGACTAGGTTGATGCATGTCATCATATTCCAATTGTATAAATTAATGCCTGTGATCCTAATCACAGGTCTGTCTGGTTCATACTTGATTACTTACAGACCTTCATTGGGGTTAACCAAAACAAGGCTCAATATTCTAAAATCCCTGCACCAACCCTGGACATAACATGTTGTGCACACTACAGAAAGTATGGAAACCTTTTGGGGCCATTGTTATTTGGAACTGATATGGCATTGCACCTTATCGCGACACAGCTAACTTTGTTTTAGCAGCTGCATTAACATGATTAAATTTGATATTTATTTTTAGACTGACAGTCATTCATGGTTGCTTTATGAAAAGAAAGAATCATATTAGATTACAAACATGCTTAAAAATAAATCTGATAGTTAATGATTTAACGTGAGCCTCCCAACATATCCTTAGTTACATCAATGAAATATTAAGAAACCAGTGTACGAGAGATCCGGAGGCATACCTGTCATCAGTACTAGGTCACTGTTGATAGCATATTAAACACAGGCCCCAATGCCAAAAGTATTTGCGCGTATATGTGGTGTCGTCCGTCCCCCACTCTCTCCCCTCCTAATTATGTTGCAAAAGGTGTTCCACTTATTCGTGGCAAGTTGTTTACACACAGCTAGAGAATGTAAATTTGAGATATAAAGACTTCAAAAGACGATACCTACCGTAACTAAAATGCTTGATATATTAGTGGTATCTATCTGCTAATCTGTGACAACACATGTGAATACAATCGAAACGTATCCAACATGGGCCAAAAAAATCAACCATATCACACATCTGGTCTACAATAGACTCACAATATGGTGTAAACATAAAAGAAAGACGTGTAAAATGAACATTAAAAACAAAATTATGTCCTATTTGTCTATATTTTAAACTGGATGCATCAGATTAGCAAGACAGGTATCTGTATGCCCTCACCATTTTGGATGGCTACCGGAAAAAGGTCGACTTCGCGATCAGCAATTCTGTTTCCGCTTCCGCTTTGGCCTGCGTTATCGTCTCTTTGATTGGTCACTTGTCTGGATAGTGAACCAATAGGATAAATTCTAACATAGGCAAGAGTTTACGTCCGGAAACATTCTGTTCGGCCCATTCGGTTTTCGCTATGGAATTTACTGATAGCAACGACAGCAATAAAGGAACCGATTCTTTTGAAGATTTAATGACGTTTGTAGAAGAAGATGGACCCACTGACAGCAGTGCAGTGACCCAAGTGTACATAGAAAGACTAGGATCTCACTCAAAAGATGACCAAAACCAAGTGGCCGATTCGGGGTCAGATACCATCCCTCCTGGTATGGAGAACTGTCAAAATGAAAGTTCTCTTTCAACCATCGAACATGAAGGGTATGGGTAGTTTATTTACCACCACTAATTTAATGTGACCTTTATTTTATGGGAGGCCAAGTTATTGTTCTTACTATTCACAAATTGAAATTGGAATCACGTTAATGACTGACTTCCTTGTTTGAGGACTTGCAAAGTGGCTAAAATGATTAAATGGGAACTAATATACATAGGCCTAGCCGCCTATATTATTAATTTTTATAATTAATCACGGGAATGCAGTGTTCCCTACCACACTTTTCTCTCACTAAAACTGGTTATTTGTCTTTGCGACCAGTGACCTACGGCAGAGATCATCCTCACGAGAAGTTGTGGTACTATATTCTAAAGATGCTCCGATTTTTGTGGCAGAAAAGTGATAGGGAACACTGTAAGGATAATGTGGATAATTGTAAGGAACGAGGGAGGCATAAGCATGGCTTATGATGACACAGGGGTGAGTTCGCTTTTGAATCAGTACTGAATAAATGTAGCAGGTGAAAGTGGCTTATCTGAATGTCCCAGGACAGTTTCCAGTAGCCAAAATATTTGACACTAAACCATTTTATCTTTTTCTCTCGATGTTTTTGTGTGAAGAACATTAGGAACTGCTATAGAATCTATAATAGCCACTAAATGGGTACTTAACCCTAATAATCGTAAAGTCAAGGTTGATAGATCGTAAAGGGGATCCAAGGGCTAAGGATAGCTTTCAGGTAATCTAATAGCAAGTAAACGGGTACCTAACCCTAATGATTGTAAAGAGGTGATTGATTGTAAAGGGGATCCAAGGGCTCAGGATAGAGTTTGGGTTAAGCTACCCTAACACTGGCAACATTTGGATGTGTTCAGCACCAGTATAACATACCTAAGAAACTGCATTCCTGTGCATAATAATGAAAATTAATGAATCGACAAAATAATATGTGTATATTAGTTCCCATTTATAATAATTTTTGCCACTTGAATTTCGTAAAACAAGAAATAAAAAATATATTGAAAATATTAGTGCTTTCATAAATTTGTGGTTGCTAAAATGAGCTGCTGCAGGCTATATTTAGTAAACAAATATTCAAAACTTTGGCGAAAACGGTTACTTATTGTCAGGCGAAAACAGCACCTCTATTTTTAATAACGATAAGAGCGATTTATGTAGTAGTGTATATATGCTTTATTATATTTTGTAGTAGTATATATGCTTTATTTACAATGTTATTGTCTTGTCTTTCACAGTTATATTCTCAGTTATTGTACAGTCCTGTATTTGTCCACAAATATTGTCATCTTCATTGTTTCATAGCAGTTCACAAAACTGGCCCATTAAAAGACCATGTGAGTTTAATTTCATTTATCTTACTTCAAAGCATGTGATGTTTTCACAGTAAGTTTAGTTTAATTTATTTCAGTACCAGGGTACACTGGTACCAAAACAAAGTAGCATATGGTGGAACCAGAACTGTCATCGTCTCTTTCATCAACTTGCTGTTGGGCTGATAAAAACTTTCAATTTTCAGGCATAAACTGTTAATAGAAATAATAGTAACATAACTATCCAACTTGTTTTCGTCTAGTTCATCTTATGTCTCAATTGCATCTTGCATAATACAATTTGTACAAATATGAACTGGTACTGTACTGTGCTGAGTATATGCAGTCAGACTATACCCTTTTTATAGCACTAACATTTGGTCTGGGAAATAAGTTACGTCAAGATTTTTCATTCGTTAAATTGTAAAATATAATAGAAAGTAGCCAAGAGAATCTCCCAATTAAGCCTAATACTGAAGAAATGTAGATTACTGATCTGTAATGGAAGTTTGGATTAGTCTTCCAAATTATCTACTAGTGAAGAAATCTTAACTTTAATACCAAACTACTATGGACTTCCATAGGATATTAAATTTTGGTTAGTCTTGTTTCAGGTTGTGTAGGAGACAAAGTCATCATTTGGTATGAGACTCTCCTATCTTTAGCAAATATTGATTTAGTACTAAGTATATTTATTGTTTCAGTCTGTGACTTTGGCCACTGGTCTAAAGCCTGAGTCTAGTATAATTATGTTTGATTTTGTAAGATCAGCTAAAACAGTCCATGTTATAACATTTAAATGTATTGTCGGATCATAGGTTTTCAGACATCATAGGTTTTCAGACATCATAAGTTTTCAGACATCATAAGTTTTCGGACGTCCATGTTTATCGTGATTACTCTCGCTAGAATGGTGTAGCATTGAAAATGGGGGGTGGTACATTGAAAATACACAGATCATGGCTTCTTTTTAACATGTTTAAGAGGAAGTTGTCTTTTATGAGTGATATGTTTTACAGTTGTTCATGTGATTAGAGAGGAAACTAGTATAAACTACAACTGTTTCTTAACTGAAAACCCATAACACAGGGATACAAAAATATTATGCTAAATAGCCAAGTTTGGGCTAGTAGACTAAAAAAGAAAGAAAAAAGAAAACGTTTTTGGCATTGACTGTAGTTTTTTATGCATATTTGTATTGTGTATTTGAAATGTTATGTACTAAGCTTTTGTACTTGCATATTTGAGGATTATCATGATTATTATGCCTATATTAGAAAAATATCTGTCTTTGTATGAATTATCATTTGTATATGAGACTGAATCATCATTTGGTATGAAACTTTCCTATCTTAAGTAAATATTGATGAGCTTATAGAATTATTAGTATTGTGGAATTCCAGCATGTGATGCAAACAGAACTTTTTAACTTAGGAGAAATATATGATAATATATGATTAATTTTTTTCATATCAATGTATTTTCTTGACATTTGATACCTCTGGTCAGTGGTTTTTAAGGATGTCATGCTGCTGTTGGGGAAGGGAGACTTCAAGAGCCTGTCACCGTTCTTTCTCATCAAGTCACAGTAGCATGTAAACACTAATTAGTAATGACACCCACAAGTGTTGAGACATTTCTTAAATTAGTGCTACACAGATTTGTTTAGTCGCTGAAATTAAGAGACTTGTGGGTTCCCATGAAAAATGACTGTTATTTGGGCATGTACATACCTTTATTTCAGTGACTTTATGTTAGACTATGTCAATTATTATCCATTGGGGAGACAATGATGCATGACTGAACAACCAAGTATTATCCGGAACCTGTTAATCATAGAGATATATGTTTCATTGTGGTGTTCTTCTATCATCTTGATTAGTAGTGTGTATAACAGAAATATGTGTGTTTTCTGTAGGTACATACATAATACAATACCTGGTCATCAGATATTGTATTATGTGGTGTTCTTCTTTCATCTTGATTAGTAGTGTGTATAATAGAAATGTGTGTGTTTTCTGTAGGTACATACATAATACAATATCTGACGACCAGATATTGATGACCTTAAACCCTGGAAATGAGCGGATGCCTATCAACCCGTCACATGCGATCATTACACTGGAGACACAAGATCCATACACTAATGCCAAGGAGGTGAAGAGGTGAGTGTCACATGCAGCAAGCATGGCAGTTTTCAAGACATACCAGGGTAGTCGTGCATTCAATCTTGTGGACACACCAAATTTAAAAAAAGGTAGGGTAAACATAATATAAAATAACTACACAGTCCACAAATTGATGTGAAATATATCCTGATTTTATCCAGATATTTGTGACAGTGCTTACATATTATTACCCTCGTGTTCAAGATACAGGTGGTAAGATACAAAATCCATACATCACACGTGTGTCGTACAAGGTTGACCTCGTTTTATTCGTTTTGATTGGATAACCGTGACCTCTGTCACACCAGAACTACTTAATTTGTTCATAAAAAATCACAAGACTTCATTCACTGTCACGAAACGTTACTAGACAGAACTGAAGGAATCTCATGAAGACACTTTACAACACTTTATTAAACCAATCAAGATAGTCACACACATCAAATTTGCTTTGCAGTCTATATTAGTTATGCATCGAGCTACTACAGACATTATATAATCGAGTTATATCAATTTGCAATGTATGACTATTGATAGATCGACTTACGTGGGATGATCCGGTTGTGTCATTAGTGTCCTCTTCAAAGCATATTGTATAACATTGCTTCCGAAGGTGTTTGTTCATGAACAACATGCACAACAAGATCACTCAAAGTGAACAGTTCCAATACAAATCATTAAAAAACTCCTTAGAAGTGTGCCTGACTTCTTTTTTTGCGGCCCCCAAAATCCAAAATGAGAACAATAACATTTCCTATTGGTCTCTAGCGTAAAACGCTGTGAGTAGATCACGGTTGTCTTTTCTTATTCCAATGGTGACCTTGCCCTTTGTTCAAAGCTGTCACTAACATGCAAGCAGACTAGATTTTGTTGATTTCCACGTCTTTAGTGTAGGGTCGTACCATTAACATAAACGTCTTTGGCGAGCACTCTTATTTCTCTCTTCCAAAGCTGTACGTGCTTGATATAAATTTAGCTGACAGATCAAGGAAACTGCACCATTTTAAGTGAGCAGTCGGGATCCCGATGGTGCGAGTGACCAAGTGTTGGTCCGAAATTCAAAGCGCCACGCTGTTTGACTTTTTAAGTTTTCTTACAGTTGTGCTGCACACTAACGACAATGTGCCTGAATTACCAAAAGTTGTGGGAATTCTAAAATATAGATTTTGAGCATTGCTGCTGCCAGGTTTGCACACAACAGAAGGTTTGGTTTGGTTTGTTGTTTTACGCCGCACTCAGCAATATTCCAGCTATATGATTGCGGTCTGTAAATAATCGAGTCTGGACTAGACCATGTAGACAATCCAGTGATTTACATCATGAACATCGATTCACACAATTGGGATACGATGACATGATTCAACCAAGTCAGCGAGCCTGACCGCCCGATCCCGTTAGTCGCCTTTTACGACAAGCATAGTCGCCTTTTACGGCAAGCATGGGTTGCTGAAGACCTATTCTATCCCCGGATCTTCACGGGTCCACAACAGAAGGAACATGTTGTTATGCGCATGCTTAGTAAAGTCAATAATGCCCATGTTCATGTGCAACCAGATTTGCTACCAGCTTTAGTTTGCTCTGTTAATGAACAATAAATTGTTATGTATTTACATTTAAATAATATTTAATGTGGGTTATATATAATATACCACACTCATTCTCGTTAGATACCATGTGTGTGGTATTCTCTACCTTTCAACTCAATTTAAGGACAATCTTGAAGACAGTGTGTGTGTGTGTGTGTGTGTGTGTGTGTGTGTGTGTGTGTGTGTGTGTGTGTGTGTGTGTGTGTGTGTGTGTGTGTGTGTGTGTGTGTGTGTGTGTGTGTGTGTGTGGTTTGACAGTGTTTGTAAGTGGACTGTGTGTGTGTGTGTTTGTAGTGTAATTTGACAGTGTTTGTAGGTGGACAGTGCATCAGGCTGTGTCACAAGAAGGGGTGTTGGTCTAAGTTAGAAGTGCACCTATACCAGAAAAGTGTTGGTCAAGGTTAAGATGAGCTGTCCACCCACACACACTGTCCACCTACAAGGACTGTCCACCCACACACACTGTCCACCCACACACACTGTCCACCGTCACACACTGTCCACCCACACTCACTGTCCACCCACACCCACTGTCCACCCTCACCAACTGTCCACCCACACGCACTGTCCACCCACACGCACTGTCCACCCACACGCACTGTCCACCCACACACACTGTCCACCCACACACACTGTCCACCGACACTCACTGTCCACCCACACCAACTGTCCACCCACACGCACTGTCCACCCACACGCACTGTCCACCCACACGCACTGTCCACCCACACACACTGTCAATCCACACGCACTGTCCATCCACACGCACTGTCCATCCACACACACTGTCCATCCACACGCACTGTCCACTCACATGCACTGTCCACCCACACGCACTGTCCACCCACATGCACTGTCCACCCACACGCACTGTCAATCCACACACAATGTCCATCCACACAAACCCCTTCTTGTCCTAACAGCCTTAACTGCACTTCTAACCTAGACCAACACCTCTTCACTGTCCACCCACACCCACTGTCCACCCACACCAACTGTCCACCCACACGCACTGTCCACCCACACGCACTGTCCACCCACACACACTGTCCACCCACACGCACTGTCCATCCACACGCACTGTCCACCCACACGCACTGTCCATCCACACGCACTGTCCACCCACACACACTGTCCATCCACACACACTGTCCATCCACACGCACTGTCCACTCACACGCACTGTCCACCCACACGCACTGTCAATCCACACACAATGTCAATCCACACACAATGTCCATCCACACAAACCCTTTCTTGTCCTAACAGCCTTAGCTGCACTTCTAACCTAGACCAACACCTCTTCTTGTCCTGACAGCCTTAGCTGCACTTCTAACCTAGACCAACACCTCTCCTTGTCCTAACAGCCTTAGCTGCACTTCTAACCTAGACCAACACCTCTCCTTGTCCTGACAGCCTTAGCTGCACTTCTAACCTAGACCAACACCTCTCCTTGTCCTAACAGCCTTAGCTGCACTTCTAACCTAGACCAACACCTCTCCTTGTCCTAACAGCCTTAGCTGCACTTCTAACCTAGACCAACACCCCTTCTTGTCCTAACAGCCAATGTAGCTGCACTTCTAACCTAGACCAACACCTCTCCTTGTCCTAACAGCCTTAGCTGCACTTCTAACCTAGACCAACACCTCTTCTTGTCCTGACAGCCTTAGCTGCACTTCTAACCTAGACCAACACCTCTCCTTGTCCTAACAGCCTTAGCTGCACTTCTAACCTAGACCAACACCTCTCCTTGTCCTGACAGCCTTAGCTGCACTTCTAACCTAGACCAACACCTCTCCTTGTCCTAACAGCCTTAGCTGCACTTCTAACCTAGACCAACACCTCTCCTTGTCCTAACAGCCTTAGCTGCACTTCTAACCTAGACCAACACCCCTTCTTGTCCTAACAGCCAATGTAGCTGCACTTCTAACCTAGACCAACACCTCTCCTTGTCCTAACAGCCTTAGCTGCACTTCTAACCTAGACCAACACCTCTCCTTGTCCTAACAGCCTTAGCTGCACTTCTAACCTAGACCAACACCCCTTCTTGTCCTCAAAGCCTGATATAGCCACACTTCTGACCTAGACCAACACCTACATATCCGGTACCCATTTCCTGCTGGGTGAACAGAGGCACATTGAACGAAGTCACTTGCCCAGGTGTGACACCACAGGTTTTGACACTTGTGTTTCATCATGTACATGTGTATGTTTGTATTCTTGTTTCCACCATCCAGTTCTTTTAAGTGTACAGGGTGTATGTACTGAACACTAGGGGTAGTGACAACACTGTAAATACCTGCAAACATTGTTGGTCCCAAGGCCTTATAACAACCCAGTCACTAGTGGGATACGATCTCAGCACTTGGTGCTTGCTGGTCTGACACTTTTGACTGCTTGCCCACTCTGACCCATATCACCCCCATTACGTTACATAATATATTGGCAGTTATAAGTTATAAGTGAATAATAATAATAATAATAATAATAATGTGCATATTTATAATGCACCAAATCCATTCCCTATAGCATGTTAAAAGTACTACAATATTACCCCAGGCAATGGATCAGTGTGCACTTGATTTACATTCTCAGCTCCCTGGGGAGTATACAGTCCAAGCTGCCTGTGAGCTGCTAGAAAGTTAATAGCCACATTACCACCTCATCCTGCCAGGTGTATATATGATAATATACTGATGGAAACACAGCGGGACAGCTATGAGATGATGCATGTGTTTGGCATGTGATGTTATATGGACACAAGAACGCTTTGGTTATTGCTGTAGTTAATTTCTTTTTCATTGTTGTACAGGTTTCAATGTAACTTCCAAGACTGTTCAAGAACTTACAGTACACCTGGCAACCTGAAAACACATCTGAAGACCCACCGAGGTTTGTACCAGCAGCTGTTATATATCTGAGGAAGTTGTACCATATCAGAAGTCATTAGCATGTATGTTAAAGGTCAAGGTCATCATTAACAGTTAAGATCTCATTAATCAGTTGTTATCAGTGAAGTAGTACAAGTAACATCTGCAAAGCCAAAAACATTTCATAAAATATTTTATTTTACATTGGACATATCTTTACCTTAAGATCTTTTGACAAACGACTGATACAAAATACCAAGCCAAAATCAAATTCTGTTGGCAGTGACACCACAGCAAAGTGAGTGGTTGTTCTCCCTCTCATGTTAAAAACAAAGATGGAAGCTCATCAGCCAGGACTGGATTGGTATACTGCAGGGTACTTCTGCACTTAGTAACTGATACTGTGTTAGTAGTTGCAAGAAGTTCTAATGAGTAAGGTGAAGGTTACTGCATGAGTTGTGTGTACATTCTTAGCTCTTCTGACTGAAAGTCAAGAGCTTATGTCAACTGTCAGTCATTAGCGCTTACGTTTTCGATATTTCCTATAAGACTACAAGGCTTATTATACTAAAACTTTCCACGAATGATCCCAACTATGGTGTCTCTAAAGGTACTTGCTCGCAGTCTTGTGATCCGACTTTAAACATATGGAAAATGTCACTGTTAGTTCACCTGTCCCTTTGTCATTAACTTTTGCATTTTTGACATCTCCTCTGAAACTACATGACCTACGGAGCTGAATGATCGAAGATATGCTGTCTCTAAAACTTGCTTGCTCAAAGAATTCCAATCTGATGTTTTACATGGTGGCGTTCAGTGTTTTACGAGACGCACAAATGTGCATCCTGTACACACAAATGTGCATCCTGTACACACAGATGTGCATCCTGTACACACATATGTGCATCCTGTACACGCAAATGTGCATCCTGTACACACAAATGTGCATCCTGTACACACAGATGTGCATCCTGTACACACAAATGTACATCCTGTACACACAAATGTGCATCCTTTATATATTTCAGGCTCTAAAGTAATTATATATCAAAATGTATGGTACACTACACCATTTCATTACTTTAAAGGACCCTCATATTGCGTGCAAGGACCCTTAATGCGAATTGTTGGGGGTACCCTGGACGCCATCTTTTGTAAGTCAAGGTAAAACCATGGGCCATGTTGTGATAATTGTCATTTTTGCCCATAACTGATACTGGCTGATACTTTGTTTGAATGATCTAAGCAATGGTGTCTCTAAACATTGCTCACAGAATTCCAATCATATTAAACATGGCCGCCTTGGTGGCCACATTTGCAAACCCATTAATGGCTATGAAGTGGGAGTGAAACGATACATCGGTGCACCGTTGCATCGTGGCTTTTCATGTGACGATACAATACACGATATGTTTTTTCGGTATCATAACAAGATGTTACACTTGCTGAAGTAAATTACTTACTACTTGTTTAATGACCCCCAGTGTTTTTGTCAGTCAAATATCACAAATATGTTGGGATTAGCTTTTCAAGTTCAATACAAAAAATATCTGCTGTGAATATGTGTCTACAGCAAGCTTTTCCTTTTGAAACTGCTCTGAAATATTTGTCAAGAAGTTTCCATGCGGTTTGACGTAAATATGCATATTGCTAAGTATAGCATATTGTGACCCAATTATCATCACCCCTACTATCAAGTGGCCATCTTTTTTCAAATTATATTGCATAGGTTTGCGTAGTTGTAGTTAGCATGGTTAGTAGTGGGTCTGTTTCATTTTGTGCCATATTAAGAATTTTCACCTTGATTCAACCTTTACAATATAATAGTTGGTGTTACCAAAGTGACAATGCAATTAAGTCTTCGGGGCAAAATTGAAGAAACATATCTTAGATCCCAACGCACACTAGCCTGCCATTATGTTTCATAACTTTTTCTCTATACACTATCAATTACTAAAAGCATATTTTCGCAAATACGTGATATAGTTGCCATGGAAACAAGTCTTTTATTTCGTAAAGAAATAGTTTAAGCAACATTGGGAGATGCTTTTGGTAAGATGGTCCAGGCACAGTTTCACCATCCTTCACTTTTTGATATGGAGGAGAATAGGAGAATATGTGATGATGCGGTTTTCTTGTTCACTACTTACTATATGAACAAACAACATTCTACTGTTCCTCATGGTGGGGGATAGTGATAATGCGGTTTTCTTGTTCACTACTATATGAACAAACAACATTCTACTGTTCCCCATGGTGGGGGATAGTGATAATGTGGTTTTCTTGTTCACTACTATATGAACAAACAACATTCTACTGTTCCTCATGGTGGGGGATAGTGATAATGCGGTTTTCTTGTTCACTACTATATGAACAAACAACATTCTACTGTTCCCCATGGTGGGGGATAGTGATGATGTGGTTTTCTTGTTCACTACTATATGAACAAACAACATTCTACTGTTCCCCATGGTGGGGGATAGTGATGATGTGGTTTTCTTGTTCACTACTTACTATATGAACAAACAACATACTACTGTTCCTCATGGTGGGTGATAGTGATAATGCGGTTTTCTTGTTCACTACTATATGAACAAACAACATTCTACTGTTCCCCATGGTGGGGGATAGTGATGATGTGGTTTTCTTGTTCACTTCTATATGAACAAACAACATTCTACTGTTCCTCATGGTGGGGGATAGTGATGATGTGGTTTTCTTGTTCACTACTTCAGTGGTCCCTCGCTACAACGCTACCAATGGGGTCCAAATAATTGGTGGGCGTTATAGACAATGAGCCGTTTAACCAAGGCCGAGGAGGGGGAGCGCGCTCGGCCAATCTCACGTTCTTCGCCTTGTCTCGCACATTGCAATGATACAAGTTGTTTACCGTTCATAGTGTAAAAATATATATCCATTATGTTTTCGCCGTTTGTTATTATTTACAAGCCTTAACTGTCACATTCAATGTGAATGTAGCCTACTTACATGAAAATATCGATCGATAATGGTAGTAACAGATGCTATGAGTGAAGAGCCAATCACAATTCAAGTACAGAGTGTTTCAGTGGCATTGATTGGTCATGTTGCTTAAAATACGGAAAACGAGAGTTTTGACCAGCACTATGCGCATTCATACACATTCATACAAATATAGATACACATTCAAGCCAGATTAATTGGTTTGATACGGTTACTTGATCCGAATCAAAAGGAATGACTGCCGTGTTGTGACAGCAACTACATGTGAGTTGACAGTGTCGCCACAAATTGGATTGCCCACTATTAAGAATATAAACCTCGCTTGTGGTTCTCTTTTATTGCATGCATGCGCTTCTAAGATCAAAGGATGTATAGTGTAAAAAGTTAACTAGTAGAACAATCGTATTTCCGGGACTTGCCGCGGATGTTTCAAACAGATTATTAGAACTCCATTCAGCGATAAACGGTTGATTATGCAATGAGAAGCGTTATGTGCAAATGAACAACGAACAACAATACAATCATGTCTGTGTAAAACTCTCAGTATTAAAAGTGTACATAAATTTTGGGAGCCATGCGTGTGACCGCGCGTTGTAACCGAGGTAGCGCTTTATCGAAGAGCACAATAGCGAGGGGTCACTGTATATGAACAAACAACATTCTACTGTTCCTCATGGTGGGGGATAGTGATAATGCGGTTTTCTTGTTCACTTCTATATGAACAAACAACATTCTACTGTTCCTCATGGTGGGGGATAGTGATAATGTGCTTTTCTTGTTCACTACTATATGAACAAACAACATTCTACTGTTCCTCGTGGTGGGGGATAGTGATAATGCGGTTTTCTTGTTCACTTCTATATGAACAAACAACATTCTACTGTTCCTCATGGTGGGGGATAGTGATGATGTGGTTTTCTTGTTCACTACTATATGAACAAACAACATTCTACTGTTCCTCATGGTGGGGGATAGTGATAATGCGGTTTTCTTGTTCACTTCTATATGAACAAACAACATTCTACTGTTCCTCATGGTGGGGGATAGTGATAATGTGGTTTTCTTGTTCACTACTATATGAACAAACAACATTCTACTGTTCCCCATGGTGGGGGATAGTGATGATGTGGTTTTCTTGTTCACTACTATATGAACAAGCAACATTCTACTGTTCCCCATGGTGGGGGATAGTGATGATATGGTTTTCTTGTTCACTACTATATGAACAAACAACATTCTACTGTTCCCCATGGTGGGGGATAGTGATAATGCGATTTTCTTGTTCACTACTTACTATATGAACAAACAACATTCTACTGTTCCTCATGGTGGGGGATAGTGATAATGTGGTTTTCTTGTTCACTACTATATGAACAAACAACATTCTACTGTTCCCCATGGTGGGGGATAGTGATGATGTGGTTTTCTTGTTCACTACTATATGTACAAACAACATTCTACTGTTCCTCATGGTGGGGGATAGTGATAATGCGGTTTTCTTGTTCACTACTATATGAACAAACAACATTCTACTGTTCCTCATGGTGGGGGATAGTGATAATGCGGTTTTCTTGTTCACTTCTATATGAACAAACAACATTCTACTGTTCCTCATGGTGGGGGATAGTGATGATGTGGTTTTCTTGTTCACTACTATATGAACAAACAACATTCTACTGTTCCTCATGGTGGGGGATAATGATGATGTGGTTTTCTTGTTCACTACTATATGAACAAGCAACATTCTACTGTTCCCCATGGTGGGGGATAGTGATGATATGGTTTTCTTGTTCACTACTATATGAACAAACAACATTCTACTGTTCCCCATGGTGGGGGATAGTGATAATGCGATTTTCTTGTTCACTACTTACTATATGAACAAACAACATTCTACTGTTCCTCATGGTGGGGGATAGTGATAATGTGGTTTTCTTGTTCACTACTATATGAACAAACAACATTCTACTGTTCCTCATGGTGGGGGATAGTGATAATGCGGTTTTCTTGTTCACTTCTATATGAACAAACAACATCCTA